CCGCCGTGCACCCCACCCTAGTGGGCCGAGGGGGCAGCAGCTGCCGCCTGGCCGACCTCCCCCTCTTTCTGAGCCCAGGGGGGCAGCGTGTTCAGCATCATCACCAGGGTCGAGGCCACCCACTCCCAGACCCAGGGAACCTGCCCCGAGGTGAGGGGATCCCGCGGCGCTGGGGGACCCTGCCTCAGCTAGGCGGGCCAGCTGTCCCTTGCGGGGTCCCTGACTGGGTCGCCTCCACCCTAGAGCATAAAGGTCCACAATGCCACCTGCCTCTCCGACGCCGACTGTGTGACTGGGGAGCTGGACATGCTGGGAAACGGTCAGTGTGCACCAGCTGGGGCTGGGCGGGTGGGGCAGGGCTGCGTCCTCACTACTGCCTCAGTGACCTCTGCCCCACAGGCCTGCGGACCGGGCGCTGTGTGCCCTATTACCAGGGGCCCTCCAAGACCTGCGAGGTGTTCGGCTGGTGCCCGGTGGAAGATGGGGCCTCCGTCAGGTGCACCCGCGCCCTGGCCTGGGGCCCTGAGCCTCCACTCTGATCCTTTTTCTCTGACCAGAGGCCAAACGGGCGGGGCAGGAGTGACAGGAGCTGGGGAGGGGTGGGGGCCAATGCCAGGAGGGGGCTTTGCGGGAGGAGGCACTAACAACCCGTCTGTGCCTCCTCAGCCAATTTCTGGGTACCATGGCCCCAAATTTCACCATCCTCATCAAGAACAGCATCCACTACCCCAAATTCCACTTCTCCAAGTAAGAGCGGGGTGTGGCGACGGCCCAGCATGGGGGCTACCTCCTGGGAATGGCGTATTTGGGGTGCAGGCCTTGCCTCCTGCCTCCTCCTCAGGGGCAACATCGCGGACCACACAGACGGGTACCTGAAGCGCTGCACGTTCCACGAGGCCTCCGACCTCTACTGCCCCATCTTCAAGCTGGGCTTTATTGTGGAAAAGGCTGGGGAGAGCTTCGCGGAGCTCGCATACAAGGCAGGGCAAGCGCAGGCGGGGTGGGGCCAGGGTGGGCTCCCACCTGCACAGGGAGGGCCTGGGGTACAGGGGACCAGTCCCTCCTCCCTCCTGACCAGCTGGCCCAGCTCAGGCAGAGGAAAGAAATGTGATCAGCACAACCTGTCCTGTGTGGCGCTTGCTGAATTATTGACACTGGCCACAGGGCTGGCTGCTGGCACCCCTTGTGCCTCAGACACTGGACACCCACCGGTACCCCTGAGCCACCCCTGGGCCCCTCAGTGCACACCTCACACGCAGCCTGGGACTGACCCCAGCTCTTGAGGGGCCTCTTGTGTGCCCTCCTGACCCCCTTCCCTGGCTCCTTCTTGGCAGGGTGGTGTCATCGGGGTCATTATCAACTGGGACTGTGACCTGGACCTGCCCGCGTCGGAGTGTAACCCCAAGTACTCCTTCCGGAGGCTTGACCCCAAGCATGTGCCTGCCTCGTCAGGCTACAACTTCAGGTACTGTACTTGGGACACTGCTGTCCACCCTGGCATAGCCACAGTGGGGTCCTGAGAGGCCCAGTGCCCATGGGGCAGCCCTGGAGCACAGAGGACAAGTGGGCACTGGCTTCCAGGCCTTCCCATTCCAGGTTTGCCAAGTACTACAAGATCAATGGTACCACCACCCGCACGCTCATCAAGGCCTACGGGATCCGCATCGATGTCATCGTGCATGGACAGGTGACTGCACCTGCTGGGGCTGTGGCCAGCCCTGCTAGCCTGTGTCATCTCAGCTCCTCAGGCCCCACCCCTCCCTCCAGCTCCATCAGGCATCAGACATCTGACCACAACCCTCGTTCTCCCCAGGCCGGGAAATTCAGCCTGATTCCCACCATTATTAATCTGGCCACAGCTCTAACTTCCGTCGGGGTGGTAAGAAGCCCTCTGTGGGGTCTCGGCGGGTACGGGGTGTCCACCGGGCCCTTACACGCCGGTCTCTGCTGGCCCCAGGGCTCCTTCCTGTGCGACTGGATCTTGCTAACATTCATGAACAAAAACAAGGTCTACAGCCATAAGAAATTTGACAAGGTGTGTACGCCGAGCCGCCCCTCAGGTAGCTGGCCTGTGACCCTTGCCTGTGTTTTGGGCCAGGCCCCACCCCAACCCGGCCACTGCTCCGAGGACCAGCACCCCAGCCCTCCATCAGGCCAGGAGGGCCAACAAGGGGCAGAGTGTGGCCCAGCCTTCCCACCCCTGCAGCCTTGCCCCATCTCTGCCCCATCTGAGCAGATCACTCCTGCCTCCGAGCCTGCCCCACAAGCCTCCACACCCACAGACCCCAAAGGTTTGGCCCAACTCTGAGCTCCTTCCCGTCACACTGGACTGCAGACCCGGCCTGGTGGGGCCAGAGACAGTCCCTGGCTAGGGACCCTGCACAGTAGACATGGGCACCTCAGTAGCAGGGCATCTCCACGAAAACTGGGCACCATAGGGTCCCTGTGCAAGGGCTGGGGGCATGCTCTGGCCCCAGGCTTGTGCCCCACCCTGGTATACCAGCCCGACACCTCCTCCCCAGCTGGCCCCTACAGGGCTGCTCACTTCCCATCACCTCACAGCCACCTGGAACCCAAGCCAGCTAAGCTGAGGGGCTCTGCTCCTGGTCTTGGGCCCTGGGAACCCTCACCCCACCCCACCCCGCCGGTGTAACCTCGAATCTGCCCAGACTCTTCCCTTACAAGTCACAACCTACTCAGTCCAATAAACCTGTGAGCAGAACCTTCTGGCCTCATTCCTTGCGGAGAAGCATCGTGACCCTATGAATATGGGAGGCCAGGCCCTGAGATGTGTATAAGAGACAGCTTCTTGGCAGGGTGGTGTCATCGGGGTCATTATCAACTGGGACTGTGACCTGGACCTGCCCGCGTCGGAGTGTAACCCCAAGTACTCCTTCCGGAGGCTTGACCCCAAGCATGTGCCTGCCTCGTCAGGCTACAACTTCAGGTACTGTACTTGGGACACTGCTGTCCACCCTGGCATAGCCACAGTGGGGTCCTGAGAGGCCCAGTGCCCATGGGGCAGCCCTGGAGCACAGAGGACAAGTGGGCACTGGCTTCCAGGCCTTCCCATTCCAGGTTTGCCAAGTACTACAAGATCAATGGTACCACCACCCGCACGCTCATCAAGGCCTACGGGATCCGCATCGATGTCATCGTGCATGGACAGGTGACTGCACCTGCTGGGGCTGTGGCCAGCCCTGCTAGCCTGTGTCATCTCAGCTCCTCAGGCCCCACCCCTCCCTCCAGCTCCATCAGGCATCAGACATCTGACCACAACCCTCGTTCTCCCCAGGCCGGGAAATTCAGCCTGATTCCCACCATTATTAATCTGGCCACAGCTCTAACTTCCGTCGGGGTGGTAAGAAGCCCTCTGTGGGGTCTCGGCGGGTACGGGGTGTCCACCGGGCCCTTACACGCCGGTCTCTGCTGGCCCCAGGGCTCCTTCCTGTGCGACTGGATCTTGCTAACATTCATGAACAAAAACAAGGTCTACAGCCATAAGAAATTTGACAAGGTGTGTACGCCGAGCCGCCCCTCAGGTAGCTGGCCTGTGACCCTTGCCCGTGTTTTGGGCCAGGCCCCACCCCAACCCGGCCACTGCTCCGAGGACCAGCACCCCAGCCCTCCATCAGGCCAGGAGGGCCAACAAGGGGCAGAGTGTGGCCCAGCCTTCCCACCCCTGCGGCCTTGCCCCATCTCTGCCCCATCTGAGCAGATCACTCCTGCCTCCGAGCCTGCCCCACAAGCCTCCACACCCACAGACCCCAAAGGTTTGGCCCAACTCTGAGCTCCTTCCCGTCACACTGGACTGCAGACCCGGCCTGGTGGGGCCAGAGACAGTCCCTGGCTAGGGACCCTGCACAGTAGACATGGGCACCTCAGTAGCAGGGCATCTCCACGAAAACTGGGCACCATAGGGTCCCTGTGCAAGGGCTGGGGGCACGCTCTGGCCCCAGGCTTGTGCCCCACCCTGGCATACCAGCCCGACACCTCCTCCCCAGCTGGCCCCTACAGGGCTGCTCACTTCCCATCACCTCACAGCCACCTGGAACCCAAGCCAGCTAAGCTCTGAGGGGCTCTGCTCCTGGTCTTGGGCCCTGGGAACCCTCACCCCCCCCCACCCCGCCGGTGTAACCTCGAATCTGCCCAGACTCTTCCCTTACAAGTCACAACATACTCAGTCCAATAAACCTGTGAGCAGAACCTTCTGGCCTCATTCCTTGCGGAGAAGCATCGTGACCCTATGAATATGGGAGGCCAGGCCCTGCTGGCCTGGAGCTGGGCTGCAGTGACCTTTGTATGAGTCATCTCCCCTCTAAGCAGCCTGGGAGTGTGCAGGGCACGTCTGCCCGCCCCATGACCCTCGGTCCCCACAGCCAGCTGTGCCACGGTCAGGTCTGCCCAGGCTGGGAGCGCACCGGGACCCAGGCCACTTCCTCAGTGCACTTACTTCTGACAGGGCCACCCCAGACTCCAAACCAAAGCTGGCTCATCTCAAAATGTGGGAGGACAGCATGACTCAGGAAGAGAGAAATGGGAGGGAGGCAGGGACAGCTGCACACAAGGAAAACGAAAGCTCAGACTACAGCAGCGCTCAGGCCAGTGTTCATTCCTACTCCATGGGTGGGGGCAGGAATGCCGATGGGAAGTCAGGCCAGGCCGGGGTGGACGGACACCAGCCTGGGAGCAGCACTAACTGGATCAGGGCTTGTGGGTAATCTGGTTACTGCATCCTTAGATGCTGCAGTGGCTAGACTGGTGCCCACCAGGTGGGGGGAGGAGCCCAGAACTGAGCATCATGAAGTCGCCTGTGCCAGTGGCGGATGGCATCCTGCCTCTGAAGGGAAACCCAGTCTCAGGAGAGCAACACTACTCCCAAAGGTCAAAGGGCAGAGAAGGGCGGGGAAGACGGCCCTGGTCGGACCTCAGAGCCTGAGTTTGGAGTCCTCACCCCAGCGCTGTGTTCAGGTGGCGAGAATACGTCTTCTCACGGGCCCCATTTCCCTTGACTGTGGCCTCCCAGCCTGGGGCACCGGCCTCAGGTCACCCCACAGCCTGCACATGCTGTGTGGCTCACAAATATCCAGCTCATTTTTGGAGAAACTGGCTCTTCTGGTTGAGTCGCTGCTTGGGAACCAGGGCCACAGCTTCCCATTTCTGACCCCTCCACCACTGCTCAAATGCCGCCAGCCCCAGCTGCCTCAGAGTAAACTCAGGCTGGCCGGCACCCGTGGCTGCACCGGGCGACCCCTGGTCTTGCTAGGTGGTCTTCCTGAGGGACGGCTGGCTGTCCCGGCCCCCCTCACTCCCCTGAGGGTTCTCCAGATTTGCTTCCAGGAATGAAGCCCAGTCAGCCAGCCTCCCTCCTCCCCTGCTTGCCCTAATTTGATTTGATCTCTACTCTGGAGGCCTCAGCACTCCTCCATCTGAGCAGGCATCAGGTTTCTCCAGGCAGGCGGCCCGAGCAGCATCCAAGGGCCAAACACATACCCAGTGGTACCCAGTCCCCTCATCTGAGGCGCCCCGCACAAACACACAGTGACAACCTAGAGAAATTTCAGTATGAAATGCAAATAAAAACAAAGTGTAGCAGCGATGGCCTCGGACAGTAGATGACAGGGACAAACTAAGGCTGGCTCTGGGCCAAAGATGTGAGCCTCCTGGGGAGCCTGTGGGGCCCCTCCCTCCTGTGAGGCTCTCGCCTGGGGTGTCTGAATTCCTGATTTACATTTCATACTTGTTTGGTGCCCTGTGAAATTGGCCTTTGTTCTTTCTGCTTCCAGCTGGTCCTGTGTGGAGGTGAAGGACGAGGGCTGTGGTGAGCCGGAAGTGAGGTGCACAGAAGTCTTGTTTTCCTGAGGCTGATGGGGGGTTCCCTCTAGACCTGGCTCCAAATGAGCAGGGCTCAACAAGTCAAAATCCAGATTCTCACAGGTTAGGGTCCGGATTCCCGGGGAAACCAGCCCACAAACTGCTCCTGTGAGGCTGTGGGGCCAGCCCATTTCTCCATGCAAACAGGTGAGACTCCAGCCCCACCAGGGCCTTGGGAACCCATCTCGTCTCAGAGCCCAATCTCAGGGAGCCAGAAGCCCCCAGGGGCTTTTCCTCCCTCTGGGAGGCAGGACAAAGAACTGGGGGCACCTACAGGACTCTCCCACCCCACCAGGTGTGGTGCAGGAAGCAACAGAGGCCTGGAAAAGCATTCACTGCATAAGAAACAGTGGCCAGGGCACCCGCAGCCTCGCTCATGGCCTGCTTCTGCAGGTGCTCTGGCGAGGCCAGGGCCACATCCTGCTCCCACTCCCTCCTGTGACGTCTGAGCTCCCTGAAAATGGTTTTCTTTGGTTTCCTCCCCGTTCCCTGGCGTGGGGTCACAAGTTTGGACAGTCAGGGTGGTCAGTGGTCTGGTCACTGAAAGCACGGGTATGTGGCCTTGGCATCAGGAGTCCTGGCACGGACGCAGAGGCGCCCAGGGCCCGGGGCTGGCTAACGGCCCCGCTGTGGGTTCTTCTGCAGCAGCCACTCCAGGGTTTCCAGGAGGTACGACATGCCGTAGTGCTGGGCAATGTTCCGGAAGATTCCGATCTGTTCCATGAAGACCTGCAGGAATAAACAGGCACAGTGAGACCCCAGTCCACTCAGAGAGGAGGCCAAGGAGGCCAGGCTGAACCGAGGCAGATGAAGGAAAGCCCACCTGGGTGTGGATGGTGAGGGCGAAGTCCCCTGCGCAGCTGCAATACACAGGCATGCTGGTCTCCTTCACCCCTCGGCACTTCAGGCAGATCTGAAAGGGAGCAACCCCGATGGGCGCTGGCCCTCCCGCCCCGGCCAGACCTGCCTGCTGCTTCTTCACAGGCTCGCGAGACACATTCGTGGGCCCATCAGTAAGCCTTGAGCCCATGCTGTGCGCAGCCAGCCCCTCAGTTATGAGTAAAATGCATGACCTCATCCCACCCTGCCAGCGCCTTCCCTACGCCCACCCTCACTGTGGGTGTCCCATCCCAGATGCCCAGTCCTGAGGCCCCCTCCAGGCCCTGCTCACTCCCTCCATCCTGCAGGCCTGGACGCCGTGTGCCACCACACGGCAGCTTGGTGCGTCCCCCAGCCTCTGCTCAGATGCCCCTCAGCAAGGCCCTCCTATGGCCGAGCTGCGCAACTCCCTCTTCCTCCTTTCCTTCTCTTCACACTTGGGAACGTCTGCCTCCTTCCGCTAGAACAAAGCACCCACAAGGCCAGCTCTTGACCCAAGGCAGGTGCTCAACCAGTGTAGACAGAATAGTCCATTGGGCTCAGGCATGGACTGGTCTGCAGGGCAGGCCCTTTGGAGAATAGTCTGTCGGGCTCAGGCATGGACTGGTCTGCAGGGCAGGCCCTTTGGAGGACACCAGGGCGTGCCTCAGGACCTGCACACACCCCGGCTCCCAGGAGTGCACAGAAACCCCTCTGCGGACTCCAGGGCACACGGGTGGGCGGCAGGCACTGCTCACCAGGTCCTGCAGAGTGAAGGCCATCAGCTTCTTCTGCAGCACTTCCACCAGCGTCATCTCGATGACAGAGGAGTCGTAGGGCGCCTGACAATTGGAGCAGAGCCACTGAGGCAGGACCGCCCCATCCTAGGCAGAGCAAGAGTGCAAGAGGTCACTGGCCCAGCCTCCAGACCACAGTGCCCTGCGCAGGATCTCAGGAGAGGAAGGGGCTGTAAGAAGCGCCTGCTGAGGGGCGAGTCTCCTGAGTGCAGCTGTGCGTGCTCCGGCCTCCCACCTGCGCTTGAGCCCTTCCTAGGACAACATTCCGAACGTGGTATGGGGAGGCCTGGGAAGGGGCCTGTTGCCAATCCGTGTGAGTCAGAGCGGCAGCAGGTGTGACCTACAGAGCTGGGGCTGCGGAAGCCCCCAAGACACTGCAGTGCCCTCAGATGTTCTGCTCTACAGTGAAAACCCCACTGGGGCTCAGCCGCACCTCTGAGAAGGAAGAGTCTTTACACAGGTCCAGGTCGCGGCAGAAGTTACAGCTGCGGCAGATGACCTCAGGAAGCACGTAGGACCGGCAGGGGTCTCGGAACTGGGCCTCCTCGGAGAACTCGCCGACATCCACCAGGCGAAGCAGGTCTCGGTTCAGCTTATTCACCTGGTTTGTGATGTTGGTGTCCAGGGACAGCACCTGCAGAGACCACAGCCCACATCGGGAAGGAGCTCCCTGCTGCTCTGTCTGGGCCAGAACCCTCTGGACCTTAGGCTACAGTTTCCTGGTGTCCTTTCCTCCCTGCCTTAGTCCCTGTAGAAGCCGCAGGGAGCCGACTTCTCTACACTGGCAGTTTTCCATCAGTGAGGACAGGCTTCCCCGGGGAATTTACTAAACATTTAAGGAAGAAATGCTGCTGATTCTACACGATATCTTTCAAAACACTGAAGAGGGAGAGCACCCAACCTACTCTGAGACCAGCATCACCCTGATACTATAACCAAAGACCATACAAAGGAACTACAGACCAATAACTGAGCGTAGACACAAAAATGCTCAACAAAATATTAGCAAATTGAACCCGATATAGAAAAAAAGAATACATAATCCAGAAATAGACCCACACAGATAAGTTCATTAAGTTATGGAAAAAGGTACAAAGATGATTCAATAGAAAAAGAATAGTCTTTTCAACAAATGGTTCTGGAATACAAGCATATCTTGGAGATACTGCAAGTTCGGTTTTGTACCACCTCAACAGACAAATATCACAATAAAGCAAATCACACAAATATTTTGGTTTTTTAGTGCATATAAAAGTTACGTGATTTTTGGCTCACGCTTGTTTTCTCAGTACATATAAAAGTTACGTGATTTGTGGTGGCTCACGCCTGTAATCCCAGCACTTTGGAAGGCCAAGGCAGGTGGATGACCTGAGGGCAGGAGTTCAAGACCATCCTGGCCAACACAGTGAAACCCCACTTCTACTAAAAGTACAAAAATTAGCTGGGCGTGGTGGCGGGCGCACCTGTAATCCCAGCTACCTGGGAGGCTGAGGCAGGGATTCGCTTGAACCCAGGAGGTGGAAGTTGCAGTGAGCTGAGATCGCACCACTGCACTCTAGTCTGAGTGACAGAGTGAGACTCCATCTCAAAAAAAAAAAAAAAACCTAGGTGGTATGTTTTTTGTTTTGGGACAGGATTTTGCTCTGTCGCCCAGAATGGACTGCAGTGGCGCAAT